ACAACCCCCCTGCACATTACCCCCACCCCCAACCGCCCCCAGTACACTCCACTATGCAACCTTAATTCTGGACTCTTGTGATCACCATAATACCCTATCATATATCGCTTTTAAACTGTTCTCTCACTCATCTGTTTCAATGCAGTATACATAATTTATCCAGTTTTTCTCAGTCTTACCCCAACCCTGATGTCAGTCCCATTCCACAACAGTGGCACCATGCAATATGTGACTGAGATATTTCACTCAGCATAATGTCCTCCAGGGCACCCATTTTGAATAATATTGCATGAGTTCCTTGTTTTTCAATGCAGCATAGTATTCCATTGTGTGAATATACCACAGCTTCTCTATCTATTCACTTGTTGATGGGCACTTGGGTTGTTTCCAACTCCTTGCTAATGTGAACAAAGCCATGATAAATATGGGCGTGCCTAGTTTTACTTTTTCTAAGACATATCTGTTCATCCTTTTGGCAATCCACAAGATATTCAGTGAATTATGAGTACTACAACACCACAATGCAAATGCATAGAGTCTTCTCCTGTCATCCTTATTGTCCAGTTCTCAATATCTGAGTGACTGGAAAGACTATGGCTTGAATCAGGTTCTCCACAGTCTTTAAACTGACATCGCTGCTCCCTAGAACTTTAGAAAGATCCCTGACAGTAGACTTTGTTAATGTTGTACATCACCTGATCTCCTGATTATTGGTACCAAGGGTGTTGATTATGGATCCAAGTAAGATGAAATCATTAATAATTTCAATCTTTTCTCTATCATCATGTTGCCTATTGGCTCAGTGGTGATGATTAATATTTTCTTGATACTGAGATGTAATCAACATTAAAGGCTGCAGTCTTTGATCTTCTACAGCAAGCACCTCAAGCCTCTTCCTTTTCAGCAAGCAAAGTTATATCATTTGCATAATGCATATTGTTGATGAGTCTTCCTCTAATCCTGATGCTATGTTCTTCTTCATAAAGTACTACTTCATAAAGAAGTAGCTTCTCTAATGATTTGCTCAGCATATAGATTTAATAGGTATAGAGAAAGGATACAATCTTGACACACATCTTTCCTGATTCCAAACCATGTAGTATTCCATTATTCTACTTGAACCACAGCTTCTTGGTTTAAGTATAGATTTTATATAAGCATAATTGAGTGTTCTGGGTTTCCATAATTCTCAGTGTTAGCCATTATTTGTTATGATTTCCATTGTCAAATATCTTGGCATAGTCAATAAAACACAAATAGATATTGTTCTGATATTATCTGCTTTCAATCAAGATTTTCATAAGACTCTAACAATGATATTTTAGGTGCCACAGCTTTTTCTAAATCCAGCCTGCACTTTTGGCAGTTCTCTGTCAATGTACTCTTGTTTTGTTTTTTTTTTTAAAGGAAAAATAAAAAATAAAAAACGGCATCATTTCTACCAGGGCCATATTAGCAGTGAAATATTCTAAACTGCTGAGTTTGTGGTTTTGGTTCCGAAACAAGTTGTATATTTCCCACCCTTGATTATGGGAAGAAATCAGTGCTGTGTCTTTGTGGGTTACTCTGCTATGGAGATCAGCAGTAACTGTGACTGGGTTGGCCCATTCTGTTTAGAAATATATTTTAAACATTTAGTAATTCACGTGTGTGGTTGTTCTTAATTAAGCGCACAGGTTACAACAAACAGGTATTCTGATTTTAAAAGATAGTAATTAACAGGAAAGTGGAGCTTTTTTATGGGATTCAGGATGTTTGGTCTGGTAGTGAGACTTTGAGATTCTTAATCCCAAAGGCAAGTTCAAGGTTTCCTTATCATTCAAGGCCAAACTTGTGAGCTGCCTCAAAGGCAAAGGAAACATTAAAGATAGGGAATGGGAAGAATTAAAAGTAGCTGCTGCTGGAGGGTGGCCCTACTTCGTCACAGGCGTTAGTTCTTCAGAAAGAGAAACTTAAGTCCCTCTTCATGTAGTCACCAGAGTCTACTTTGAATAGTCTTCAGACTTCTAACTGCTACTCAGGTTAAAGAAGAAAACTTAAAATGTGAACTCCAGTTGTTATATAGTGATCAAATGCTCCATTTTACCAGTTACATAATCAGAAAAAGGATGTTTCAGATAACAGCTGTCTTGCAGGGGCAGTAAAAAAAAAGGTGCAGCCGAACAGGTCTGTCAGGGAGCATGGTCTTTTGTTTCCTCCAAAGCACATGAGGCTTTTTACTTCATAAGCAACAGTAATTCCTTCCCTTTGACCATATCTAAGCTAGTGTTGCCTTCAGAGTGAGTTATTAAAAAACATAATGCATCCATTTTTGTCAGCTGACTGAAGAAGTGATGCTTGCTGCTAGGTATTCACGTCCTTCTTGGAATCGCTACTCAGCCACTTGAGAAGGCTCTTGCTCATCCAGCTTTGCTAGAGATATATTACCTGGAGGGGCCACAAAATACTGTTCCACAACCTGATGGGAGTTTTGTAGTATTTCTTGAGTACAGTTGCCTTCTATTACGTCATCAGGCCTGAGGTATAAGCATCTGGGTGCCAGCCTTGGAGGTGTGACCGCGGCAGGCGCTCAGCGGGGCCCGAGAGCACAGCCGCAGCACCCGGGCCCACATGTCTCCGCCGCCGCCTCCGTAGTGAGCCCCTTACGTCCCAATGTACTCTTAACCATTTTTGTATGATCTTCATATTTTGCTTGCATGTGATAATAATGATAATTTTTTGAAATTTCCACATTGTGTTGGATTACCTTTCTTGGGAGTAAGAACTAATATGCATCTCATTTAGCCAGTTGGCCAGGTAGCTGTCCTTCAGATTTCCTGGCAAGAGACTAGTGAGCATGAGCAGAGCTGCTTCTATTAGTTGAAATATGTCAATTGGTATCCCATTGATTTCTAGGGCCTCTTGTATTCAGTCTTCAGTGTAGCTTGAACTTCTTTCTTCATCACCACTGGCTCTTTTTCATATGCTACTTCCTGATGAAGAATGTGGCATCAGGATAGGAGGAAAATTCATCAACAACTTGCATTATGCAGATGACATAAACTTGCTTTCTGAAAGGTAGGAAGACTTGTAACACTTGCTTCAGAAGATGAAGGACTACAGCTTTCAATATAGATTACATCTCAACATCAACTAGCTTAGATATGGTCAAAGGGAAGGAATTCCTGTTGCTTATGAAGTAAAAAGCCTCATGTGCTTTGGAGGAGCAAAATACCATGCTCACTGACAGACCTGTTTGGCTGCACCTTTTTTTTTACTGCCCCTGCAAAACAGCTGTTATCTGAAACATCCTTTTTCTGATTATGTAACTGGTAAAATGGAGCACTTGATCACTATATAACAAGATGATAAAAATCATCATGACTGTACCAATAAGCAACATCATGATAGAAGGAGAAAAGATTGAAGTTGTCAATGATTTCATCTGGGAGCCACAATCAACACCCTTGGTACCAGCTGTCAGCAGGTCAAGAGATGTATTGCATTGGACAAGTCTGTTGTCAAGGACCTCTCCAAATTACTGATGAGAGCAATGTCAGTTTGAAGACTAAAGTGTACCTATTCCAGGCCATGGTCTTTTCAACCACTTGCTATGTGTCTGAGAGTTGGGCAATGAATAAGGATGACAGAAGAAGAATTGATGCCTTTGAACTGTGTTGTTGGAGAGCACTGAACATCCCATGGACTGCTAAAAGAACAGGTATGTCTTGTAAAAAGGGGAGCCAGAGTGTTCCTTGGTAGTGAAACTTCATCTCACATACTTTGGGCATGTTGCTAGGAGAGGCTATTCCTTAGAAAGGGGTATCATACTAGGTAAAGTGGAGGGAGGGTGAGCCCAAGAGAGGAAGATCCTCAAGGAGTTGGATTGGCATGGTGACAGCAGCAATGGGATGGTATAGGGTTCAGATTCATAGTATCTCTGTGAGCTGTTCTCGGCTCTGTGGCACCTAACAACAAGGACAACTTTCTGAAACTTTTCAGTGTTGACAAATTTTTTTTCTACAGTGAGTCTGTGTATTCTCTCAGTTTTTAAAAAAATATGAGATATATTCAGTGTCTGAAGTAATGGGCTCAAATGTGTTGGGAGTGATAAAGATGTTGCAGAACAGGACAGAATTCAGCTCTGTTGTTCATAGGGTCACTATGGGTCATACTGGAGCTGACAGCACTTAACAGCAACAATACTGTGCTTATCCTATAACCTTGTGTTGAACTAGAGTTCATGAATGTGACTAATGTGTTTAAAGCCTCAATCATTTTTATTATAAGGCCATCAGGACAGTGTTAGGCAAGCCTCTGTTGGCTGCATTAGTGAGCACACATGGTAACTTGACTCTGACCTTGCAATGTTACAAAAACTAGTAAGGAAATGAGAGAAGCTAGTATTTAATTGGGCTTGTACCTTTTTTTTTTATCTTCACTTGGCACAAATTGTTAATATGCTTGACTGATAACTGAATAGTTGGTGGTTCAAGTCTACCTGACAGTGCCTGAGAAGAAAGGCCTGGCAGTCTGTTTACAAAAGACCATCCATTGCAAACCCTATGGGGCACAGTTCTCTGACACATGGGGGGTTGCTGTGGATCCGAGTTGACTCAATGGAAACTGGTATGCACATGCATCTAGAGTTTTTACATAGACTTATTCACAGAGTATCTGTAGGAGATGGGACTGGGTGCCCTTTGTGATTTCACCTACAAGTGCAGCAAAACAACCCAACCCAACCTCTGGCCATCTAGATGATTTCAATGCACAGCATCACTGCAGGAGAGTGGTACTGCTTGTTGAATGTCCAAGGCTGTAAATCTTTATGGGCACAGACACTCATCTTCCTCTCTCACAATCAGAAATATATGGAGATTTCCCTTTGCCCTTTATGCACTATCATCATTCTTGGGGGGGAAAAATCCCCCAAACCAAAAAAATAACCTGAACTCTATTTTTCCATGTACTTTGGGTTTCAGAGAATTTCAAGTGAAGGTGATGTTTTCATTACTTACCAATGCCCTCAGTTCCTCCCCAGTCACCTCTCAAAGGATTAGGACTCAGAGGGGACTCAAAACATGCAGGGCAGTTTCCAAGTTTGGCAAAACTGCAGAGGTAGGCCACAATATCATGGAGAGAGGCAGTCAATCGTAGTGTTAGCTGTAAGGCTCTGAAAGCGGCCTGTGGGCAAAATCAATACAAGGAAATATGTCTTAGGAAGGGGCTAAGTGGCATATGACATATTTAAATATTAAGGATAATATCTTTAAGTAAGACTGTCTGGGCAAATGTTTTCACAGTAAGTCCAGAATAATTTCAGAAAAAAGGTATCAAATCTACACAGAAACAAGAGCTTGTATCTTTGGATAGGTAACTTCTTGGGAGTGGGTATAGTTTAAAGTTTGTTTTTGTTTAAGGCTACTGGTGGCCATAAACATGTCAAAATGTATTTGCATGAAAACCAGTGAATTACAGCTGATTGGGGTAGGGTGTGACAGACTTACATTCAGACAACATTGTCCAGAGTGAAAATCTGAAAGCACAGTATAAAATTGCCCAAGAGATTTATCAACATAGTTTAAACTAACACATAACTGAAAGCCAAACACGGGGTCTTAAATATCAACACAGAGGAGAAGGAAAAGTGAAAATTATAGTTTAACTGCAGCAAGCGATATTTTTATATTTAAGGGAAAACACCTGGAAATCCTCCCATGAAAAACAGGGCAAAGAAAAACCAGGATGTTCTCAAATTATTATTGTCAACATAGCACTTTTATTTAAAAAATGCTTGCTGTATTTTTATAGTTATTTCTATAATGGTTACTGATGTTACCCAATATCAATAAACTGAGTACTCAGAGCTTTCCATTAAAAATAACAAGTTACAAGAGTGACTTCATTGCTTCAAGGCATCAGGGCGGAGGAGTTCTGTCAGTGGGCTTGAAAGGAAATTGAGGATCATTAAGGAATGCTGAAAGCCCAAATTGATACTCATTAATGACAAAGGAGAAACAGAATTCTTGAAGCAATGAGGTCCAAGAGAATTATAAGAAAGCAGGCAAAAATGTGAGGAGTTGTGAAAGGATTTCAGTTATTAGATGTTTCAGGGAGTTGGGGGTGGGGAAGCAAAAGAAGTTTTATGATTTGGGGAGACATTTAAAATGAAAAGCCAATTTTTATTCTGACATATTTTTAAACCAGCAAACCTTTTCTGGCAGAGTTTTGAACAAAATCAGCACTTCAGATGGTTGAGGTATGAACCATAAATTGAGGAAGACTTTTCCGTCAGCAGACAGCAAACAGCTCGGACGCGGCTGAAAACTCCTGTGGCATGAGAAGAAAGCAAGAGTGGCATCATTTCCCTCCAAACAAGAGGCGTCATGGACAGTGTGAGCTATTTCAATAGTCCCCTCTAGCCACAGCTCCAAGCCTACAATCGTGGTTAGACACAGCTCCGGTGCCCAGCCCTCCTGTTCTGGCCAAGCCCAGGTGGCTAGAACTATAAATAACTCAACAGGAAGTGGACAATTGGGCTGATTTTAGCCTCACCAGCATTGGAGGAAGGAGGGAAAGGTGAGGTAAGAAAAGAAAGCAAAGTGCATGAATTAGATAGCCAGCACCATGCTAAGCGTTTCATGCAAGGTCGTGTTATATCTTACTTCATTCTTAGGACAATTTTGCTGTTCTTGTTAGCTGAGCTCGAGCTGACTCTTGTCTTATATGACCAAGTCATACTATTGTAATTCATAAGGTTTTTCACTGACTGATTTTTCAGCAATAGGGAACCAGGCCTTTCTTCTGAGTCTTTCTTAATCCAGAAGCACCACTGAAATCTGTTCAGCATCATAACAACATCTAAGCCTCCAGTGACAGATGGATGCGGACAGAATTTTAGGTGAACTGGTCAGAAATCAAACCTAGGTCTCCTGCAAGAATGATGACAATTCTATCACTGATCCACTACTGCCTCCCAGGCAATCTTGTGGTTTTAAAGTAGTGCCTTTGAGTGGACTCCGACTCATAGGGACCTCACGTACAATCCTCTGCTTGATCCTGCTAGCCTCACAATCTCCACTGTGCTTAAGCCCACTCACTGTTCCAGTGTTAATTCTTGTCATTGAAGGTCGTCTTCTCCTTCGCTAACCCTCTGCTATGCCAAGCATGATGTCTTCCCAAGAACTGGCCTCTCCTAAAGTATATGAAATAAAGTCTCATCATCTTTGCTTCTAAGAAGGGAAAAGGAGTGGGAAGGAAAGGGGAGAAAGAAAGGAGGAGGGGAGGAGTGGTAGAGGGGGGAGCGGGGAGAAGGAGCATTCTCACTTCCTATCTTCCAAGACATGCTTGTTTGCTTTTTTGGCAGTGCATGAGATATTCAAAATTCTTTGCCAACACCACCATTCAAATGTATCAATTCTTCAGTCTTCTTAACTCATTGTCCAATTTTCACATGCAATTGAAATAATTGGAAATATCTAGACTTCAGTCAGTCACACTTCAGTCTTTAAAGTGACATCCTTATTCTCTAGCACTTTAAAGTCGGCCTTGCTAGCAGGTTTGCCCAGTACAATCATGTTTTGATTTTTTGATTGCTGCTTTCATGGGTTTGGATGGTTGTTGTTGTTATGTGCCATCGAGTCACTTGAAATTCATAGTGACCCCCCATGTACAAGAGCCCTAACCCCTGCTCTATTCTGTGCCAACCTTATTATCTCCGATACTCCTACTCCCATTTCCCCAGCCACTGAATCAATACATCTCATCAAGAGTGTTATTCTCTTGCACTGTCCCTCTACCCTCCCAAACATGACATCCCTCTCCAAGGACTGGTCCCTTCTTACAACATGCCTAAAGTACGTCAGTCGAAGCTTCAGAGTCCTTGCCTCCAAGGAGCAGCCTCTTCACAATGAACCTGTTTGTTCTCCTCGCAGTCCGTGGTATATTCAACATTCCTCTCCAGCACCACAGCTCAAAGGCATCAATTCTCCTTCTATCATCCTTAGTCACTGTCCAGCTCTCTGACACATAGCACGCAATTGTGAAGACTATGGCCTGGATCAGACATACCTTAGGCTCCAGACTAATGTTGTTGCTCCTTAGTATTCTGAAGAGATTCCTGACAGCTGACTTCCCAAAGCAACTCATCTCTTGATTTCCTGGCTGCTGGTACCAAGAGTGTTGATTGTGGAACCAAGCAAACTAAAACTATTAACTATCTCAATCTCTTCACCATCCATACTGATGCTGCCAATTGGCCCAGTGGTAAGAATCTTTGTTTTCTTGATATTGAGCTTCAATCCATATTGAAAGCTGCAGTCCTTGACCTTCTGCAGCAAGCGCTTCAGGTCCTCCTCAGTTTCAGCAGGGTTGTATCATCTGCATAATTCAGGTTGTTGAGGAATCTTCCTCCAATCTTGATGCCACATTCCTCCTCATACAGCTCAGCATCCCAGATTATCTGTTCCGCATACAGATTGAAAAGGTATGGAGACAGAATACATCCCTGGTGGACACATTTACCGATTTTGAACCATGCAGTATCTCTTTCCTCTGTTCTGACAACTGCCTCATGATGACTTGGTTGAAGTATAGGTTTTGCATAAGCACGATTAAATGTTCTGGGATTCCCATTCTTCTCAGAGTCAGCCACAGTTTGCTGTGATCCACACAGTCAAATGCCTTTGCATAGTCAATGAAACACAGATAGACATTCCTCTGGTACTCTCTGCTTTCTGCAAAGGTCCATCTAACATTAGCTATAACATCTCTAGTACCATGACCTTTTCTAAACCCAGCCTGAAAATCTGGCAGTTCTCTCTTGACATACTGTTTCAATTGTTTTGGGGTAGTTTTCAGCAGAATCTTGCTTGTCTGTGATATTAATGATATTTTTTAATAATTTCCACACTCTGTTGGGTCACCTTCCTTTGGGATGGGAACAAATATCAATCTCTTCCAGTTAGCTAGCCAAATGTTTGTCTTCCAGATTTCTTAACACAACTTAGTGAGCACATCCAGGGCAGTGTCTTTTTGTTGAAATATGTCAGTCGGTATCCTGTCAACTCCTGGAGCCTTGCTTTTTGCCAATTTTTTTAGAGCAGCTTGAGCTTGAACTTCCTCCTTCATTACCACAAGCTCTTGCTCATATGTTGTCTCATGAAATTCTGTGTCAGCCAGTTTCTTCTGGTATAGTGACTCTGTATACTCCTTCCATCTTCTTGTAATGCTTCTTGGATCATTTAACATTCTGCCCAAAGCATTCTTAAATATTGCCACTAGAAGCTTGAATCTGTTTTTCAATTCCTTCAGCTTAAGAAATTCTGAGTGAGTACACACCCTATGGTGATGGTAGACCTAGGTAAAATGACATCATTGAGAAGTTCTAGTTTTTTTCCATTTATCATGATGTTGCTTATTAGTCAAGTTGTTTGAAGATACAGTTTTCTTTATGTTGAAAAATACATACTGAAGTCTTTGATCTTCAGTTAAGTGCTTCAAATATTTTTCTGTAAACAGGTTTCTGTCATCTGCATATCACAAACCACTGACAATTCTTTCTTCAGTCCTGATGCTACATTCTTTTTTCATATAGTTCCTATATTATTTGTATTGTTGTTGTGTGCTGTTGAGTCAGAACTGGCTCATAGCTGATCCTCTAGTGGGTTTTCAGAAGCAATAAATTGTATGGGAAGAGATTGCCCATCTTTTTCCTGGAGGGCAGCTGGTGGATTTGAACTGTGTGCCTTTGGGATTGCACACAGCTTCTCACCACTCGGCCACCAATGCTCCCATTATTTGCATAGCACATGGATTCATGTACTAACCTTTGTTCTGTTTGAATGACTACCTTTTGGTCTATGTACATGTTCTACATGGCACAATAAAGTTTTTTGTGTTTCTCATTCTTTAAGATATTATTAATCATTTATTATGTTCTATATGGTCAAAAGCCTGTGTGTAGCTAATAAAAAACAAGTAAATATCTTTCTGGTAGTCTATGATTCCAGCCAAGATTCAATGGACATCAGCAATGATATCCCTGGTCCCTCTTCTGAAACCAGCTTGAATTTCTGCTAATCTCTTATTGATGTACTACTCCAGTAATTTTTTAAATGATCTTCAGCAAGATTTTATTTGCATGTGGTATCAATGACACTGTTCAACAATTTCCAATGACCAACTTTTTTCTTTTTAATTAAGGTCAAATATCTTTTAGTTGGTTGTCTAGGTAGATATCTTTCAAATTTCAGGGCATAGATGTCGAGGGCTACACCTGTTTGTTGAAATGCTCAATTGTTATTCTATCAGTTGCTTGGACATTTTTTTTTTTTGCCAATGCTTTCAGTACAGACTCTAATTCTTATTTAATTACCATTGGTTCTTGATTATATTTCTGAAATGGTTTAGTGTCAATAAAATCTGTTTGGTACAATGATTCTGCATACTGTTTCTTCTTTTGAGTGCTTCCTGCCTCAATTCAATATTTTGCACACTTGAGTCTTGTTCTTCAGTTTTTTCTGCTTGAGAAATGCCAAGTGTTTTCTTCTTTTTGGGATTTCTAACTCCAGGTCTTTGTACATTTCATAATATTTGGCTTTGTCTTCTTGGGCTGCCCTTTGAAATCTTCTGTTTGCTTTCTCCAGTCATTAGTGTTCAATTCCTCAAATCTATTCTGAGTTAGTTTCTAAATTCAGGTGAAATACACCTAACATCATAGTTTGGCTCTCATGGACATGTTTTAATTTTCTTCAGTATCAATTTGAACTGGCATATAAACCAAATTGGCAGTTCAAATTGATGGTGTGCTCCGCATTCAGCCCAAGGTCATATTCTGATTGATGATTTTAAGATATTTCACCATCTCTGTCCACAGCTGTAATCTATTTGATTCCGGTTTATAAAAAAATCCTCAAAATCCTATCAGGCAAGGTTGACATATATAGTTGCTATATACGTTTTTTAAAAAGGCATTTGCACCAGATGTTTTGCTGAAGAAGGAGGAACACTCGCCTCCTGTACCAGTCAGATCCAATTTGATGGTACACATGTAAAATAAATAATAAAAAAAGTTTAAAAAAGACTAAAAAAAGGCATTTGCATAATAGTTATATAAACACCTCTTCCTCCTATGTGTATGGATATTATCCTATCATTGACAGCAATTGATTTCAGTACGAATCTTAAAAAGTTGTTTTTAAAGATGAGTATCACCATTCCTCCTCAACTTCTCATTCCCAGCCGAATAGAGCATATGATTTCCTCATTCAAAATGGCCAACACTAGTCCATATCAGCTCACTAATCCTTAGGATATTGACCTTCATATAC